TTGTTGTCTCCCCAAACTGCTTGAATGAAAAACCAAATATAAAATGGTTTCAGACACCTAATGACAGCCAGTTATCCAGTGCACTGCATAATCCCTCAATTTCTAAAAGCAAGACACATAAGGAATTCACATTCGTGATAACTAACATCTACTTTCACGGCAGTCTACTTCCATTTCCAAGGAAACGGACCACGACCCTGCTTAAAGTGACTAGGTGTCACTCAGTTCCGCCTACTCACTATACTAAGTTTCTACCCATTACCTATCTACGTCTCCAGCACCACACCATCGCTGTCTTGTGCTCCTCAATAATCGGCCCTTTCGGGGAGGGGGGGGGGCAAAGGACAACCGCCTAGCATCCGGGTCCTGCTCCGCAGTCCTCCCCCACTCTCTCTTCCGGCCTTCTGGCCACTCTTCAAAGCCATCCCCCCGGCAGGGTCTGAAAAACCAGGATGCGGGTGGGTCGGGAAAACAGACCGGGCATTCCCTCCCGGGACTTTTCAGCTCAGCTCCCCACCTTCCCCCAACAACGCAGACCTGTGTGGCGACTGAAAAGTAATCTTCAATCTAGGACCAAGACGCCAAGGAACAGGATCTCTTACCACAAACACCGCTTCAGGAATTCCTAGGTGGAGCCGCCGCCCGTTTCCAGCAGCAGCTTCTAAGCCACAACCGCCCTTAGCCGCAGCCATCTTAAGAAAGCAGGAACGGAAATAACTGCCTTCTGAGGCGTCTGCCGTTGGCGTCAGTGATTGGATCGTTTGTACGTGAAGGCCCGCCTCTCTTCCTACGAGTCTGTGTATTCATTGGTGCTTATGTTTAGGTGATGATTGGCTAAACGCGTATGAGTGACAAGTTTAGAAGAGATTTGGTCGAAAAGCGGGAGCTGCTGGAGGACCAATACCGACTTCTGGGAAAAGGACTGTTAAGAGATTTAGGGAATGAGCAAGCTAAAACGTTGGGAATCCAGACTACGGCAGACCTCACCACTACCTATACCTCAATAAGGAGCACATTTTCCAGAGTGGCTTCCGGGTCGATCCCAATTCCCTCACGCAGACGGATGGATCCGATTCAGAGTATATCATAAATAACCCGCCGTTTGCACCAGTGTTCCTCAAAGGGCACCTTCAGTGAGAATCTTACCGCCCTCTGGGTCAAAAGCTTTCAAATGTTTATAATTTACGTGCAAAATACCAAGAACTGTGGCTATTTCGTAGGTCCAAGGACTTCCCCCAGCGTTGCCCTTCATAACAACCCTTTAAAAGTAAATGTATTGATAAACGGGTTGCGGTGGCATAAGCACTACATGAGACCCTGTTTGCAAGTCAAAGCAAATGTAACATATAGAACCAAGTAATTATAAGTTGATATCTTTTTTTAAAGGCGCGGGCGTGCCTGCGCGCGTGGGGGAGGGAATAATAGAGCAAGACTTCTAGACACCCTTAGGAAAGGGGTGGGGTTAGAAGAAGAAGGCTGGATAATTGGTTGAATTGCTGTGAAGAAATAAAGCAAGACTGGAGAACTGAAGAAAGCTGGTTTTCAATGTAGTGTTTTTTGTTTGTTATTGCATTGTTAAGTATATATGTTCAACACACACATGAAATCAGAACAAATAAAGAAAAATTTTAAAGAATGCTTATAGCAGATTGTATATGTATATAATTTAGTTTAATTAAAAATACTTATAAATAGTGAGATCGATCAGTGAACAAAGGCTCGTTGTCAAGCTTGAAATTTCCAGGAGTGGTAGGAAGAACAGAAGCGACACCAGCAAGTTGTCTTCTGACCTCCATATCTACTTTTTGGCATGTACCCCTGTGCATGCAACCCCCACAATACACATATTAATAAGTAAAATTAACTAATATCTCTCATTAGCATATAATTATAGCCATTTGATATTTGACAAAAAGGATTCCAAAAATAACACTGGAGGAAAGATTGAATCTTCAAGAAATAAGAAAATGAGATGTTTACATGTAGAAGAATGAAATTGGGTTTATATATATTGCCATCCACAAAAATCAGTTTCAAGTAGATCAGAGACCTCAATGTAAAACTTGAAACCCTGAAACTTCTAGAAGAAAAGATTTAGGTGTGGGATGATAGTTTCTGAATAGGAATTTTATTATTTTATTCACTCAAGGAGTAAGGCCAATAACTGAAAAATGGGAACTCATAAATCTAAGATGCTTTTGTACAGCTGAGGAAACAATCAACCTAGTGAAAAGGAAATCCACTAGCTGGGAGAGAATCTTTCTTTGTAAGATAGATATCTGATAGAAGGTTAATATCCAAAATCTATAAGAAACTCAAGAAACCAAGAGTCAAGAAAACAAATAACCCAATTTAAAAATTGGCTATAGAAAATGGAAAAAGAAAGCATCTTCAACAAATAGTGCTGGCATGACTGTATATTGACATGTAGAAGAATGCAAATAGATTCATACCTATCCCCATGTACAAAACTCAAGTCAAAATGAATCAAAGACCTCAACATAAACCAATTTAATCATTATTAGTATATAGACATACTGCTGATGTTTTTGTATTATCATTGTATCCTGCAACTTTATTTTTTTATTTTATGTACTATGCACGTGTGTGTGTGTGTGTGTGTGTGTGTGTGTGTGTGTGTAGGCAGAAGAATGCTGTAGTATCCATGTAGAGCTCAGAAGAAAACTTGTGGGAGCCAGTTTTCTTTTTCTGCCATGTTTGTTCCTGGACTTTAACTCGGGGCATCAGGTTTGAATCAGCATTGTTCATTGAACCGTGTTTCTTGTCTGTGCAACTTTAAAGAGCTCATTTATTAGCTCTAGTAGTTTGGTGTGGTAAAACATACCTGTAATCCTAGCACTCAAGAGGCAAAGGCAGGATAATGATGAGTTTGAGGCCAACCTGGGCTACAAACTGAGATACAGGCAAACTTAGGCTATGTATCAAGACATAAATAATACATAAAGCAAATAATACATAAAAAATACATGATTTTGAACCTTTTCAAGTTCTGAAGGGCGCTTATTTCTCTTTTTCTCAATTTCTACTAGAATCTCCAATATAATGTTGGTAGAAGTTGTAGGAATAGAAAAATTTATCTTGATACTGTTTTTATGCAGAAAGCATTCAACTTTTTTTTTCCACTGAGTTTTTGTTAGTTGTGGGTTATTCATATATAACCTTTTTCTGGTGGAGGATGTTTCTTCTATTTCTAGTATGCCTGTTTTCTTTAAAGTAATGTGTTGACTTTGGTCAAATGCACTTATATCACATGACATTTTTCCTGAAGAAATATGAGTAAATACCTATTCACGTTAGATGAGAATGACTCAAAGGCAGCTGCATCCCCAAAAGCCCACCCCAGCATGGATGGTGGCTAATGAAAGTTGAAAACCTAGAGTTAGTTCACTGTTGTCGGGGTTTCTGTCCTGCCCGGTTCCTGCAATTGTTAAGTCCCACAGAAATCACACAAAGGTCTACATTAACTATAAACTGATTGTCCCATTAGCTCAGGCTTCTTATTAACACTTATAACTCATATTAGCCCATAATTCTTATCTGTGATAGCCATGTGGCTCGATACATTTTTCAACAAGGCAGTCACATCTTGCTTCTTCTGTGGCTGGGTCAGAACTGCTGAGGAACTTCCTTTATCCCAGAATTCTCCTGTTCTCATTGACCCACCTCTACTTCCTGTCTATTTGTCCTGCCTATACTTCCTGACTGGCTACTGTCCAACCAGCACTTATTTAAAATATAATTGACAGAATATAGGTAATTGTCCCACACTACTTCCCCCCTTTTTTAAATAACAAGAACTCTAAATCTAATATCCTTTGTTTAGCTTTTGTCCTGACCATTAGTCATAACAATTTGTGAGCAACATCCTAAATGAAGGAAAATATTCATAGTCCATTTTCGGGGAATGTGGGCATAGTTTTCCAGGCTACTTCCTGCTGGTTGGGGCACTGATAATCTTTTTTTTTATTGTAGGAACGAAAATTTATTTTCAATTAAAAGATAGAGTGGTAGTACATGCTTTATAACTCCAAAACTAGGAAGGCAAAGGCAAGAAATTCAGAAATTCAACCTTGGTTAGACAGCAAGTTTGAGGCTAACCTGGCCTACATGAGATTCTATCTCAAAAGAACTTACAAATTCTATATAAACATTAATAGAAAATACACTTGACAATAACTTCATACCATACTGTGCAGTTTTCATGGACACATAACCATTTTCATGTTAGACCAAAGAATATGCCCAATTCTATTTTAGATGAAATTCCTTTTTTTTGGCTAGTATCTAAAAGGAGTATATGTCTGTGTACATAGATAATCATTTCTAGGATGTTTATTCCTACTCTTGCCTCCTTGGGTATGATCCATTCAAAGTGGAGCCCTGAAAGTTTGCAGGGTTAATATTTATTTTGTAATATATTGTATAGTGTACAATGTATAAGGCATTATAATTAGGCACTATAAAAAGTCTCCAATGCCCTGAAGTTCCTGAGAACAACAACTAGCAAGCTCACTTGCTTGGCATGTGTCTGCTGCCGAAAGACAGTCTGAAATACGTTCAGAATGAATTCCCTTGTACCACCACCCCCTCTGTGCATCTCTAGCTGAGATCCCCTTTGACTTTCTTCATCTTTTAATACTGAATTCCTGATTTCTTCCTCTTACAGATTTCCTCATTCTCAACTCTATTAAAAAGCATGTTTCTTACCATTAAGTTTTTAGAGTATGTTTTCTGTATTGAAGTATTAATTTTAAATGTAATGCAAGTTTTACCCCTTGTATTTCTCAAACAAGAAAAACATTCTGAATTATATTACTTGAGATACTTTTTTCTGTTGAATGAACTTTGATTAAAAAAATCCTTCCTTATCTCTGACTAACATTATTTGAGGTTTAATTTCCAGATATTTTATCTTTTCAATTAGTTATGTCTAATAAACTTACCCATAGACACATAAGATATACACATAGAAATCCCAGGAGTGTTAAACTAAATTTTTAATTTTTCTGGGCGTTCAGCCCAGCTTGATTTAACTTTTTGAAAATTCTCATTGTGTCCTAGATCTCATTTTATTTTATTTTATTTTATTTGTCTCATTATGACTTTTGGGGGGGGCACTGATAATCTTATAGGAACCTAAAAAAAATTAGAATTATGACCAAGTCCTGACTGGAGTATCCTGTGAGGCTTGATCATCTCAGGCAGCAGTCTTGAATCTGTTCTGGATGTAGAACTCAGACATCTGGGCCATCTGCTCCTACTGGAGATTTCTCAGGTGGTCTTCCTTGATCAAACCTGATTTTTCTTAATTCAGAATAAATCCATAGCTTCTCATTTTCTGTGGAAACAAAAACAAAACCTCTTCTCCAAAGTAACATATCTTTTGACTTCAATTTTGAAGTCAAGGTATTTGCAAAATACCTATCTTGATTAATTCAGCAGCATTTATAAACAAATATCTTTTAGCAGCTGTTGCTCCTTCCTCAGCATTCAAACAATTCAAAGAGAACATAATAACATACAGTATCGAGACTGTGTATTTTTCATCTTTATGTGGCTTTATTTTAACCTCTATTTTTTTATTTTTAATTTTTGGCTTTTTTGAGACAGAATTTCTCTGTGTATCTGTCTGTCTCTGCCTCCCAAGTGCTGGGATTAAAGATGTGTCCCACCTCACCTTGAACTCACAGGGGTCTGTCTGCCTCTGTCTCCCAGTGTTGGGATTAAAGGTGTGTACCACCACACCCAACTACTCTCCTTTTTTTTTAAAAAAGACTTTAACCTTTTTCTTTTCTCTCCCAAGCCTGCATATATTTTTTAACACACAGTAAACCATTTAGATGTTTTCTTCATCTTTGAATCTGACTTTACTGTATATCACTCCTTTTCTGACCACATGAGTCTTTACAGATTCACATTCTAAAATTTTAGCTCCTTTGTCAAAAATCGGGTATTCATAGGTTTTTGGATTAATATCTGGGTCCACGATTGGATTCCACTGGTCAACATCTCTGTTTTTATGCCAGTACCAGGCTGTTTTCATTACTGTAGCTCTGTAAGAGTTTGAAGTCAGGGATGGTAATGCCTCTGGAAGTACTTTTATTGTATAGTGTTGTTTTGGCTATACTGGGTTTTTTGTTTTTCCATATAAAGTTGATTATTGTTCTTCCAAGGTCTGTGAAGAATTTTGTTGGGATTTTGATGGGGATCGCATTGAAGCTATAGATTGCTTTTGGTAGAATTTCCATTTTTAGTATGTTGATCCTACCAATCCACGAGCACGGGAGATCCTTCCATTTTCTGGTATCTTTTTCAATTTCTTTCTTCAAAGACTTAAAGTTCTTGTCAAATAGATCTTTCACTTCTTTGGTTAGAGTTACCCCCAGATACTTTATGCTATTTGTGGCTATCTCACTCTCTGCTTCTTTGTTCGTTGTGTATAGGAGGGCTACTGATTTTTCGGAGTTGATCTTGTATCCTGCCACATTACTAAAGGTGTTTATCAGCTGTAGGAGTTCTTTGGTAGAGTTTTTGGGGTCGCTCATGTACACTATTTTATCATCTGCAAATAATGAAAGTATGACTTCTTCCTTTCCAATTCAAATCCCCTTGATCTCCTTATGTTGTCTTATTGCTATTGCTAGAACTTCAAGCACTATATTGAAGAGGTATGGAGAGAGTGGACAGCCTTGTCTTGTTCCTGATTTTAGTGGAAGGGCTTTAAATTTCTCTCCATTTAATTTGATGATAGCTGTCGGCTTGCTGTATATAGCTTTTATTATAGTTAGGTATGACCCTTGTATCCCTAGTCTCTCCAAGACCTTTATCATAAAGGGGTGTTGAATTTTGTCAAATGCTTTTCCCACATCTAATGAAATGATCATATGTTTTTTCTTTCAGCTTATTTGTGTATTTTGTTGTTAAATCTATATTGGAAATTCCTAATAATATTTGAAAATATTCTCCCACCTAACAGTCCTCAGATTGGAATTTCTGGAATGACTAATTTTCTACTTAGAGAATGTCTCCCAAGTGTGCTGGAAGTATGGGAAACAGTCCAGCACTAAGGTCTGTAACAGGGAGAAAGATATGTCTTTGTGTTTTCCTATGTATCACCTTGATGAAGGGATGCAGCAATGAATTTCAAGTAAAACCCTGGAGCTTCTCAGTTCTCAGACTCTACAGTAGTGAATGGCAGTATGTGGTCCCAGAAGTTGTTTTATCCACTGACATGCAGCTCAGAACTATCATACTCCAGGGTTATTCATAGGTGAGCTCTGTTTCTGGTCACTAAGGGAGAAGATATTTTCTGTTAGCCTTATTGAGATGAGCTTCTTGTTGTCTTTGATTTGTTAGTATCCAGCTATTCTACCACCTGCAACTCCCTCCAGAGTTGTCACTCACTCTGGAGCTGAGGCATGTTAAATTTAGGATCCCTGGTTTGTGATTGTTTCCTGTTTTCTTGTCCCAAGGTTAGTTCAGTTTTTAAGTTTTCTTAAAATGACACTAGTCCACTGCAATGAAGTCTTACAGAGTGGTAAAATGTTTTCCTCTCCACTGCTGACCCATCCAACAGAGGAATCACTGCCTTGCCAAACCTACAAGATTTGAGGTTTGTGAGGGCTATAGGATTGTTCTGAAGGGAGAACTATAGTGATATTTTATTTTTATAAATAAAAGTTTGCCTGAAAATCAAAAAGTAAAACTAAGCCACTAGAGGCCAGGCAGTGGTGACACACACCTTTAGTCCAGAGACAGTTGGATCCCTGTGAGTTCAAGGCCAGCCTGGGCTACAAAAGATCAATGCAGAAACAGACCTAGGTGGTGGTGGCTCATACCTTTAATCCCAGTACTAGAGAGGTCTATATAAACCAGGATGAGACAGAAACTCCTCCTCTTTCAGTCTGAGGACTTCTTAGAGGTAAGAGCTCTCTAGTGACTTGGCTGCTTTGCTTTTTTATAAAAAACATAAATATCACTATAGAAAAACTACCCATCTATTTTCCTCAATGTGGCCTATTTTACGTCTTGAAGAAGGCTTCTGCTTCTCTTTCCCTTGCCAGAGAGTAATGAGGGTGGAGTTGTGTTCAGCTTGGCTTCTTTACAGTGCACCACCCATCTCTCTTCCAATTTTTAAGATGTTCTATTGTTAACTTTGTGGTTTATAAAGCTCTTCCTCTCGTTGGAATAATTATTTTATTCTCACTCTTCATTAGGTCACACAGCTGCTAGTCTATCATTTCTTCAGAAGACTGGTTATACATTTTTATTCTATATAGCTATCAATTGGCATGATTTGTCTACTTCTGAATTGGGCTGCTTTTTTGCTGTTGTTATCTGAGTTTTTATATATTCTGGAGACTAGATTCCCTTTTTCTTATTTATTTATTTATTGATTGATCGGTTTATCAAAACAGTTATTCTGTGTAGCTTTGGAACCTGTCCTGGAATTCACTCTGTAGACCAGGCTGGCCTCAAATTCAGAGTTCTGCCTGCCTCTGCTTCCCAAGTGCTGGGATAAAAGGCATGTGCCACCATTGCCTGGCTGGATACTAGATTCTTAGATAAAGTATTTTTGTAAAGCTTTCTGAGCTTTCATTTTTTATTTTGAGTTTTCTTTTTTTATATTTTTAATCTACATTTCTAAATTTTCATCAGGTCCAACAACTATTTTTTGTGATTTTTCTAAAATGTCATTGCTAACACCAAAGTCATAGAGATTTACTGATGTTTTAATATTTTAATAGTTACAAATTCTTATATTTAAATCCTTAACACATTATTAGTTACCACTCATGCATGCTATGGGGTGGGGGTCCAGCTTCATTATTCTGTGCAGATATTTAGTTGTCAAATCACCAGTTGTTAAAAGGGCTATGGTTTCTCCCATTCAATTGTCTTGTCTTTTTTGTTAAAAATCAGTTCACCATATACATATGCATTTATTTCTGGAGTCCATTCTATTCACTGTTAGTGGAGAATAATACTTGAAGTCCAGCAACTTGGTGGCAGGTGTGCTCATTAGCTACTGAAGTGCCATTTCTATTCCCCCTCAATGCGCAGAGGTAAGAATTGGAGGTATACAGGTACATCACTCATTCTCTCAATTGACACGTGCAATTCCCTTTTAAAGCAATCATATCAACTTTCTATTTCCATTTAACATCATGGGGGTCATTTTATCCTTTTTTTACGTATCTGTAAAAAATGCCTCAAGCATGAAAAAGCTTGCTTCAATTTTCCTCAACGCATTTACTTATTTGCTCAATTATTTTATTTAATGTAAGAGATCATTGTCTCCTCTTTACTGTGAGGGTACTGACACAGGACAACTTTCACTAGATCTTGATCCTGCCCTGCTACAAAGATAAAAACTCTTAGGCCTTCATGAAGTAATCCTAGCCACTAGGCACCATGCATTCCTCCTCATACATACCTATTCTATACATTCCAACTCTGATTAGATTACAAAAAAATTCCAAATTGTTATAACTCTGTTCCGATGCAAACAGTTAAAAAGGTGACAGAGATGTTGAGGTTGCCTGCTTGGATTCCAGTTGTGCATATGGATGTTCCCCTTCACTGAGGTAAGAAAGTAAAAAAGAATATAGGTTGAACCATAAACATATTAAATTTAGATTTATCAAATTCAATGTGGTAATAAGACTGCTTAATGGAAATATATAATGGGTAGCTAGAAATCTAAGTCTGGAATTCAGACAGGTGTAGAGAGAGAAATGGATTTGCTTGTAAATGCATGGAGAGGGATATGAATGAACTTTTAGAGGGGACAGATAGGGTATAGAAAATAACACAATACATGATAACAAAGTGGTAAATTTGGAAGAAGGACCAACTGTGTCAAGCCACAGGTTTATTAATGGCAGTTTTCAAAAAAAAATAAATAAAAGAATATGAGTTTGGGGGCTGGAGAGATGGCTCAGAGGTTAAGAGCATTGCCTGCTCTTCCAAAGTCCTGAGTTCAATTCTCAGCAACCACATGGTGGCTCACAACCATCTGTAACGAGGTCTGGTGCCCTCTTCTGGCCTGCAGGCATACATGCAGACAGAATATTGTATACATAATAAATAAATATTTAAAAAAAAAAAGAATATGAGTTTGACTATTGTAGGTTATCGGTAACTTTAGGAGGAATGGATTCAAAGGCAGTGTAGACAAGGTCAGAATGCAGGTTCCAAGTATAGGAAATAAGGAAGCAGTCAGGCATGGTGTTTTATGTCTGTAATCTTAGCATTCGGGAGACAGAGGCAAGAAAACTTCTAGATTGAGGCCAACTTGAGCTGTAGCATAAGACCCTATCTCAAGACAGGCTTAAAAAAAAAGAGGGAGAACACACCTATCTAAACAAGTACCTTTTGTTCCAATCAGTTTTGATTGTGATTGAAAAGGCAGAAAGGATACAAGGCTGTGTATTGGAATGCAATATTTTGTGTAAAGGTAAACTACTTAGGTGTAATTGGGAAAATAATCACATCTCATGCAGATCATTGTTCTTTCTGATGATCAACATTTTTAAAATATGAACACTGACTGAAAAGTAACCTTCATAGTCTACTATAATCTCATTTTATCTATGAAAATGAAACAAACATGTATTCATAGTTGGCCTAATATACAAATAATTTTATTTCCCCCTCCAAGGTATTCTTTATATTACCTTCCCTCCTCACCCCCCCCCTTTTTTTTCTGAGACAAGGTTTAGGCCAACTGGCTGGCTCTAAACTTGTGATAAGTCTCCCACCTCAACCTCCTGAGTTCTAGGATTACAGGCACATGCCACTAAACATGGCTTATCAATCAGTCTTATTTCATAAGAACCTTACTTCTTATTATGTAAACCTATAAATTTTTATTTTGCAATAATTATAGGCTTACCAGAAATTGTAAAAAATAGTACATAATCCCACGTACCCTTTACCCAATTTGTCCTACTTGTAAGATCTTCTACAACTATAAAACTTCAAAACCAACATTATGGTAATGGTATAATACTGCGGAATAGGCTACAGACGTTATTCACTTCTACCAGATTTTACATGTACTGATTTTTATGTATATAAATATATAAAATGCTAGCACAGGAACAGATTTATGTACTAAACACTAAATTTAAGATACAAAACTGTTTCATCAGCCTAAATGAACTCTTATGTCACACTGTAACAACAATGCATATATAATGCCCAGTCCCTGACTCTGGAAATCATTAATCTGTTCTTTCTTTTCATTAATTCTGACATTTCAACAACACATCAGAAATGCAACCATACAGTAAGTGACCTTTAAAGACTCATTTTTTTCATTTACTGTATGTCCCAAGGCTCATCTAAATTATATAGATATTAGTAATATGTTCCTTTCCACTACAGAGTAGTATTCCATGGTAGGAATGGTTTGTTTAGACATTTACCCACTGCAGAACATTTGGGTTACTTCTAATTTACAGCTATCACAGATAAAATTGCCAAGAAAAAATTTGTAAAAGTTTTTGTGTCGAGGCAGTATGACAGCTGGCTCATGTTAAGTGTATGCTTAACTTTATAAAAATTTCCACTCCTCTACCCAGTATCTGTATTTTACATTCCTGTCATGGTTTGCATTCTCCACAGTACTTAGCATTTTCACAATTTTCTCTTTAGCAATTCTGATAAGTATATACCATACCACACTGTAGTTTTAATTTGCATTTCCCAATGACTTATGAGGGTCAATATATATTCACATAATTACTTCTATTTACCGTCTTTAGTAAAAATGTGTCTTTTTTCATTTTCTACTGGGATTATTTTTGAGTTTTGAGCATATTATCTTTTCCATTGATCAGATATTACATGGTTTACCGTTTCTCTTCTTAAGATTTTGTGGAATAAAAGTTTTAATTTTGATGAAGTCCAAATATCTACTCATTTTCTTATAGATGGTGCCTTTTGAGTTGAAGATTAATACCTGACTCCTAAAAAAATTTTTAAATGATTTTTTTCCCTTACATTTTCCAGCTTACATTTAAATCCATGACACATTTTGAGGTACTTTTATAAGATATTTTGTTAATTTGTGAAAATTTAATTTGTTGAAATGACTTTCCTTTCTTCTTGATTTAAATGATATGCTTAAATGGCATATTATTGTGTGTTTATTTCTGAATTTTCTTTCCTGTTCCATTGATTTATATATCTGTTCTGCGAATATCATAGCGTCTTGATTACTGCAGCTATATAGTAAGTCTTGAAGTTATATAATGTGGGCCCTCCACCTTTATATTATTCAAAATTGATTTAGTTTAATAAAATTGTACACCCAGTATTTTCATATGTCCTATAAAAAAGAAAATGAATAAAGAACAATTATGGTGGAAGAAAATTAGAGAAAATACAGCATGACACCTGGTTCTAAAATTTTATGGTTAAAGAAAATTGTTACATATGGTTAAATATACCAATAAGATGTAATAAGCAGCATTTAAATTCCATATGCCCTAAGAATATTTGTTTTCAAATATAAGTATGCCCCAGAATCAGCTGAGTAGGTCATATAGATTTCTGGGTTCTAGCCTCAAAGATTGAATTTGAACTTTGAACTGCAAGTGATTCTGATGCAAGTATTTCTGGGATTTTGAAAAACAATAATCTATGGGAAAATAAAAAGACAAACCAAAACTCCCAGTTATCACTATGGTTGGGACTGATAATGTTTTCTTTCCTTATACTCTTTTTTCCAATTCCCACTTTAGTTTCCAGTATGCAAAAGGCTCAACATTTTTATGAATACATAAATATACAATTAGTGGCTACATATGAATGAATAATAAAATACAATCATCATATTTTTGAAGTATGATTTCTACTATAACCTAAATCCTAAAAAAATCATGGTCATATTATAATTGAATCTTAGATATACAGGATCAGTAAGAATTTGCTTTAGACTCAATAAGCTAGAACTCAATTGTTTGCTTAAGAGTGCATCCACACAGAATTCAAGTTTAGCTATCTCATAACATGTATTTAGAGATCAAGAAGGAAGTCCTAACACATGATTCTAAGTGAGAGTAATCAATAGAGGTGGGTAGCAATGAGCCCTGCATGTCTTTACATTAACCCTACAGTACTTATGATTCACTTGCCTAACAAGAATATCAAACTATAAAATTGAAATACCAAGTGTTCTTCCTTTAAATTATACAGGATAGATATCTGAAACTAAAAACAAAGAATTAAAATTCTAAGAAGTTTATGTTGCTGGTGCACATCTTTAATTCAGAGGGAAGTGGATCTTTTTGAGTCCCAGACGTTCCACAGCTACATAATGAGACATTGTCTCAAAAAAAAAAGTTTATGTCAGGTATTTTCATTGAGAATAGGCATTTAATGCCAAGCATGGTAGGTGGTGCACATCTTTATTCCCAGCACTACAGAGGAAGAGGCAGGTGAATCTCTGCGTTTGAGGGCAGCTTAGTGAGGTATGCATAGTGAGTTCCAGGACAAATAGGGATGCATATTGACACTTTGGCACAAAATTAGAATAAATGTTCTTAACATTTAGAATAAACTTATCAAACATTTTATTCCCAGATATTCCTTGCTAATGCATCTCTTATAACCCTTACAAAATAACTTTCATATTCTGTAAATCATCCTGCATGTTTTCTTTTACAGCAACTGTAGGCAAGAGGATTCTATAAGCTCTGGAAAAGTTTTAGGAAGACATCTTGTATTTTATATACATAAAACTATCTGTTGGGATATAAAAAGTGCTCCTGAATTATCTGCCTACATAGGAGTTGTATATAATTTTGAACCATATTCAGTGCACAAACTGAGAAACAATATTATCACATTTTTGTCCTCTTGCTTTATTCTAGGGAAGACAACTCTTCCATAAGCTCTTCTTTTTCTTGTTGCAACTCTTGCAAATGCTGCTGGTTTTGCTCCAATCTGTCCTCCAACCACTGTAGTAGAGGCCCACTGACTGCTGACATCTGACTGCATAAATTCTTGGTAAACACTTCAATAAGAAAAGAAAAAACATAATTATAAGATAACTATAAAAAGAACTATACACTGGCATGTTCCTACTATACTACCAACAATATCTTAGTTTTGGGCACAGAAAAAAAGGGCTTGAAGAAACAAGTTTCTAAAGTACTAAACTAAAGTTCTAAAGTAGAACTGGTAAATGATTTCTAGTAGTCAACAAGGGGGAAAAGAGCTGAGCAAAGCAGGTACATATTCTGAAGCCCTAGATCCATAAGCCAAAAAGAAATCTATGTAAAAAAATAAAATTAAATTTGAAAAAGGAAAAAGATGGCTAGCTCTTCATTTCTTCATGTTAAAGGGTTAAGAAAGCACAGAAAGGTTCCCGTCTCCAGTAGGACTCTACTGTTTCCTCAAATGGAACAGAATTAAGTCCACAGAATCCAAGCTTGTCTCTTCTGGTCAGCACTATAGGCTTGTGCCTAGAAGGTTATCTAGCAGGGAAAGGGTACTTAAATGGCTTTTTTGGATGAATAAACAGATGAATGATGATATTTAGTGACTAAACTATCTCTCACTAATTTCAAAGTTTCAATTAAATATGAATTCTTTCATATACATGCACCTGTCTTTAGGCACTGCCCAGGTACATTGATCAGTCTGTCTACTTTTGAGATGTTAGTATATTTTTTAAATTATTGTGATTTTAGAATATGGTTATATACCAACATTACCAATCTTAACTCTTTGCCATGTTTTACTGAGATAAAAATGATGAGATATAGCTTCCCTTTTTGTTTTAACAAAGAAATTATCTACCAATCAGAAATCTTTTCATGATTGTTCCGGTGTATACATTTAAGCCCAGGACTTGAGAACAGAGTAGTCTACATATTGAGTTCCAGAATAGCCAAGGCTACATAGAAAGACCCTGACTCAAAATAAACAAATAAATACATAAAATAGAAAAGAAAGCATTCCAATGTTCTTCACCAGCAATTTAGTTCATAAATGTTTTGTTGTTGCTTGTTTTAGTTTTTTTTAAGTCACTCAGTAGCCAGGTTTTATTCTGGATCTCTGTGTAAACTAGTCTGGCCTCAAACTTATGGCAGTCCTCTTGCCTCTGCCTCACCAGAAATGGCACTACAGACATGCAAAGCCCTACTCTGTTTAGTCATTAAATAGGGAAATCTGGGTTAGCTGAATGGTAGATGTAGCTAGAGGTGCGTGTATGTTGCAGAAAATAAATTGGTACATATATACTTATTTTTTGATCCTTTGACTTACCCAGGAATTCCTTCTCTATTTATTCACATGGAAAATATCCTGCCTGATGTATTCCCTTTCCTCTACCTGCTTGTCTCTGCTACAAGACTAAAATAGGTCGGTAGTAATGTGATAAAACCAGTTCATAATGGCATATTTCTAAAATTTCTGGAAGCTATTGAACATCCATGCTATGAAATACTATGGCAACTGGGATTCCCTAAGAGATAGTGTTTAAACATACCAGCACACTACTGAGCTAGTCTATAAAAAAGCTTTTCTAGTTTTCCTTCTGTCTTATCATAAGACCACATTTATGGTATTTAAGTGTCTATAGGGTTTCAAGGAAATGTAAGGAGCAAGATTAGTTAAATTTCTAGAGAAGGAAACTGGAAACTCAAAGATAAATTAAAAGTGCTTCTATAAAATGAGTATTTCAGAAATTGCTCCATATACTCCAGAAAAAAAAATCTTACCCGAGCCATTATGGATCTTGGTTACTGAGTCCAGATGTGTAAGGCTAAAGGGATAAGGTACTTTAGGTTAGCAACAATGCAGAATCAAAATGGTCAGGTGTTTAACAAAATCATAACCTGCATTAGAACTTTGCCAATTTGATTAGATGATCTGAGTTCCCACCATGGTTAACTTTAAATTTAATTTGGGAGATATGATTTATTAAAAAATTCAAAAGAGGCCGGGTGGTGGTGGCGCACGCCTTTAATCCCAGCACTTGGGAGGCAGAGGCAGGCGGATCTCTGTGAGTTCAAGACCAACCTGGTCTACAAGAGCTAGTTCCAGGACAGGAGCCAAAAGCTACAGAGAAACCCTGTCTCGAAAAACAAAAAACAAAACAAAACAAAAAATTCAAAAGATAATTCAAAGACATAATTATGAAACTACTATCTCTTCTGAAGCTCTTGATACATTACACATTTAGTAAATATGGCCCAGTAATACACAGTGGAATCACTAGGATGTTGTGGTTTCTTTTCACAACCAGAAAAAGAAATGTGTTTTGTCTTGAAGGATCCAAAATATATGAGGCAAGATAGTAAGGTTAAAGAGATCATTATAATATAGTGTGAGAAACATGATTTGAAGCTGCTGTGAAACTCTCTCCCAGACAGGTAAAAGGAAAGGGGCCTCAAAAGCTGAGCTGCTAAAGATAAAGGGTCTTCACTGAAGTTAACAACAGAAACACTGAAGAAGTGTTACCTATGAATCCTTCTATATGCATCCTGTTCTTCCTGACATAGGATCTTTGGCAGTTCTACTGCTGATTCAAGGCATACCTTCCCAATAGTGATATGAGGTACAATATGGATTGGGATTTCAATTCTCTCATACCTGTAAGACAACCAATTAAGATCACATTTTATCCTTTAATTAAAATAAGTTATTTACACTTTAATGAGTTTGGAATATGGAATGCTTCAAAGATTACATATTACTATAATTCATTAAGTTACTCAATTTGAAAGTAGACAGAGTTCAAATTAGGCTTTTCTTGAGAGCAAATTAGAAGTCTATTTGTGCACTCATTATTCTCTAGCCCCTTAGAGAATATGAATCCAGTACTGTAAATTTAACATAAACCTTTAGGAACTCAAAATCAATATGACCAACTGTTTAAATAAAAGAAACAACTAATACTGCTTTTAGTCAAAAAGTTGCATGAATCTGAATAAACTGACTCAAATGCAGATACTTCAGTGACTCTATCAGATTCATTTTGTAGATGGAATTACTCACATAAATATCATCCCTCAATTTTTATTCTCTTCTATGGATAAAACTAGGTAAGATATTTACACATACTTCCATTTCATGGTAGAATGGAAGGTACAGACAGGCTTGTCTAATTTCAGTCAAGTTCCTTGTATATATTTCTCATTCCCAATATGCTTAAAGTCTACATTAACAGTGGGGTCAGTGAATGATCCAGTCTGGGGACCCTCTACATTATGAAATCCATGGATACATGGCAGTAAAGTAGAATAAGATCTAGTTTTCTGCTGCCTTCTCTTCCTATCCACTAAAAGTGTCTTTTGGTCCTATATCATGATTTAGATGAAACATACATGACAAGAAATTACAACTATCTTTCTTTTATCCATATTCACATAATTAGGGGAGAGTTAATGAAACAATATACAATAGTAGCCTTTGGGGAGTAAAATACAGTGATTAATATTAATGATGGGTCCAGAAACACTAAAGAAGTCAGTAGGCTACTCTTAGTTCTCTTAACAAGGTTTCCAATTAAATTTTCTGGGTGTATAAGCAGAAATGGTCTCAACAGTATACAATATGGAACATACATTTCCATAAATTCATGGAAGAAACTGCAGTTTCTGTCAGTTGACTAAAATTTAAAACCTAGAACCAGGATGAAACCATAAGTATCTAAAGCTAATGACAGATTCAGATTCTGCCTCTGATAATAAACTAGTTTTTATAACAAGTTTTCCTACTAAAAACAATTAAAACACATTAAAGAAAAAACTGTCTGACAGTAGTCACTGGAGAGCTGCCAAGACAATAAGTAATGGGGCCAACAGGGAGAAAATTTCAGAGGTGATTCTCACAGATCCAATTTTCCCAGAAAAGTATGATTCTAAACAAGGAAATTTATAGGATAAGAAGTTGCAAATAGTTTTCAAAAGTACTGGTGAGTTCAGGATGACAAAATTATAGCTAAGAAAATGCAAGGGTAGAGAACCTGTAAACTATTCTCAGGCATATGATGGCAAACACACTAGGAACAAAAATAGAATTCCATCAGTATACTGACTGGTTTTGTGTGTCAATTTGACACAAGCTAGAGTCATCATGGAAGAAGGCACTCCCAGTTACGGAAATGCCTCTATGAGATTCAGCTGTAAGTCATTTTCTCAATTAGTGATCAATAGAGGAGGTGAGTGGTGCTATTCCTAGGGTGGAGGTCCCGTTCTATAAGAAAGCAGGCTGAGCAAGCCAGGAGGAGGAAGCCAGCAGCACTCCTCCATGTCCTCTGCAACAGCTCCTGCCTTAGGTGATACGGGATTCTCCTCTGTATGCTGTGAATATGTTTTTATTACCATTGGTTAATAAAGAAACTGATTTGGCCTATGGCAGGGCAGAATAAAGCAAGGTGGAAAATCCAAGGAGAAAGAGGACAAAAGAAGTTTGAGTCATGCAAGCACCATGTAGCTACTGAAGGAGAAAGACGGCAGAACCTTACCGTTCTGGAAGTCACAGCCTAGTGGTGATACACATCAATAGAAATGGGTTAAGATGTAAGCGCTAGCTAGGAATATGCCTGAGCTATTGGCCAAATAGTGTTGTAATTAATACAGTTTTTGTATGGGTGGCTGGGAAATTAAATTGCAGTCTCTGATAAAACTTAGGATCCTGCCCTGTTTGAGTTACTATCCTGATTTCCTCCAATGATGGACTATGATCTGGAAGTGTAAGCCAAATAAATTCTTTCCTCTCCAACTTGCTTTTTGGTCATGGTGTTTTGTTACAGCAATAAAAACCCTACCTGAGACAACTTTATAGGAACTAAAAACCTAGACTTGACTTATCCCAATTCCTAACTAAATACAGAGTGATCTGGTAGTTATACTAGCTAGAATTTAGAAAACCACCCAAACCTTCACTATAACGAAAAATATCAAATAATGAGATATAAAGGAAAAATATCTATTAACTGTGAAAATAAAAGTAATTTTAAATAAATTATGTTCTAGAAAGAAACAATGAATAGATTATGAGTAGAGATCAGTGACCACTCTTTCATTTGAGAAAGAGAAAAAGTACATGATAGGCTTTGCCTAAAACTTAACTTTGCTAGAAGTAAGGAGAAATGAAGAAGGCATGTAATTATACAAGACTATTGCTAGACTGAAAAATATAGAAACCTTAAGTATAGAATTAATTCAACTCCATCATCAAATTTAAGCCACAAGCTGAAAAGCAGAGAAATCTTCAGCATTTTATATTTCTTAAATCTAAAACTCATGCTATACATGGAAAAATGTGATGACCATTGGGCAGATGTCATCCTGTGCTCATATCCCAGCAATAAAGAGAGAAAGGAAGAGAGAGAATAAAAAGAAAGGAAAAACAGGAATTTAAAAAAATGAAGTAGAAATATAGTTCTGACCCAAATAACTTCTGAATGGATGGAAATTATAAGTCTTAAAATTTATATAAAATACTTCATGAATAATGAACTAATTCTCTTTTTAAAAATTTAGACAGGGCCTCTCAATATAGTTCAATCAGACCTGAAACTCACTTAGTATCTCAGGTTGGTCTGAAACTTGTGATCTTCCTTTCTCAGGCTTCCTAGTGCTGGGATTATAGGCTTGCATTATCATACCTGGTTCTTATCTATTCTCAAATGTATCCTGGGGAATGCTCTCCCCAGGATAGACCACATGCAAAATTTAAAAGTAATTTTTTTCTGATTATAGCTTAAGGAAACTAGAAATGAATGGCATAAGGAAAAGTAGAAAATCCATAGATGAATAAGTTAAGCAAGATACTCTTTGATGTGGGAGTGTCATATCAATCTGTTGATTTCATTGGCTGAGCAATAAAGAAACTGCTGGCCCTGATAGGTTAAAAGATAGGTGGGCGGAATAAACAGAATAGGATGCTGGGCGGAAGAAGAAGTGAGGTCAGACTCTGCTCTGCTTCAGGAGAGACGCCATGCTTAGCCCTCCCAGGTAGACGCAATAGCTCTGCGCTCTGAGGCAGACGCATGAAGCTGAGACCCACGATGGACGTAGGCTAGAATCTTCCTGGTAAGCGCACCTTGGGGTGCTTACATACATCATTAGAAATGGGCTAGTCCAGGTGCGAGAATTAGCCTGTAAGGGCTAGAGTTCATGGGCCAAGCAGTTCTTAAATGAACACAGTTTGTGTGTTGTTATTTCGGGCATGAGCTAGCCAAGCGGCCGGGGTGTTGGGGACGCAGCCCCGCCGCCGCTCATATTTCAACAACTCTTAAACAACAAATGGGTTAAAAAAAAAACTAATAAGAGAAATTAGAAGAAATCCTGAAACAACTGAAAATGAAAACAATCTATTATGAAATGAAGCAAAAATAATATGCTGAAGAAAGTTAACCCATTATTTATAGCCATGAACACTGAAAAAGAATTAACAGGGAAAGATGGCTTAGTGGGTAAAGGTATTTGTTGCACAAGCATAATGACCTGAATCAGATTTCCAGGACCCAAACAGTAGATGGAGAACTGGAGAAAGTTGTTCTCTAACCCTGACATGTATACCATGGTATAGCACACCTCCACATATAATAAATATGTGCATACAAAACACAAACATGCAGATAAATCCATAGCAACAGCGTTTTCCAGCCTCAACTCACTATCAGTCATAGGTATTCCGAGTCTCAGGTAGCAGACATAAGATCTGCATAGGATCAAAATGTACAAAAGCATTAAAACCCAAAAACAGAGAAATCTGGTGTGTTAATTACTTTTGTGGCAAGTATGTAACACCAATCTGTCACTAACTGTAAGAAACTGATTTCCAATAAAAGCTCATGCCTGGCCTCATGGCGCATAGGGAGGAATGGGTTGACAAGAAAGGAAGAGTAAAGTACTAGAGTTTGTATATTCCAAAATGCACAGGAAATGTAAACAAAGATTGCAGAGTTGAACCTGTAACTCTAATAAAAAAATAACACAAACATGTACATATGTGTAATAAATATTTTTTAAAGTTGGGCATGGCGGCTCACGCCTTTAATCACACTTCGGAGACAGAGGCAGGTGGATGTCTTTGAGTTCAAGGCCAGCCTGGTCTATGGAATGAGTTCCAGGACAGTCAGGGGTACACAGAGAAACCCTACACCAAAAGCCCAAAACAAACAAACAAATGTTGGGCAGTGGTGGTGTGTACCTTTAATCCCAGCACTCGGGAGTCAGAGGCAGGAGGATCTCTGTGAGTTTGAGGCCAGCCTGGTCTACAGAATGAGTTCCAGGACAGTGAGGGGTACAACAGTGAAACCCTGTACCAAAAAGCCTAAACAAACAAATAAAATGAATGAATGCCAGGCGGTAGTTGTGCATGATTTTAACAAAAAATAAATAAGACAAAAAAGTTTAAGTGCTCACTTTGGCAGCACATATACTAAATACAGAGATTAGCATGGTCCCTGAACAAGGGTGACATACAAATTCATGAAGTGTTCCATAGTTACAAAAAAATAAATAAATAAAAGATAATAATTACCCATATGCTCATAATTATGGAGTACCAGAGTCGCTAATATTTATGAAACACTACTATGTGCCAAATATAAATATGGAAAATATTTTGTCTGCATT